TCTCCGACGTGCTCAAGCAGATCGAGGCCCCTCTCTCACGTTCGTGTGTCCCCTTGGGTGGAGCTGTCTTTCTATATATATATATATCTCTCTCTCTCTCTCTCTCTCGCTCTCGCTGTCTCTCGCTTTCCCCCAGTATGTTCCACAATGGATAGTCACACGAGTGATTCCTGGATATGTGTGTGTGTATACACACATGTATATGTACATATATATATATATACACGTACACCTCTCTCGCTCTCGCTCATTCACAGCATCTCCTTTATAAGTTTACGTATGTATGTGTATATATATATACATGCATATACACCCACACACACGGTCGCAACGACCGCACTTGCTTGATTGTCTATATGTACGAGTATACCCTGTAGGTTCAAGAATCGGTGGCTGCTGCCGATGATGCTGGTTCTCCCGCGAAGGCGGAGAAACTCGACCCTCGCGATTGCAATTCATTGTAAGTATATATATATATATACATATATATATATATATGTACATATATATATATATTGCACGGTTATACAGCTGAGGATCCCGAAGATTTTGCGGAGCTTCTCGTAGCCAACTACGCAGCTGGGAAAAGCAGCGCCGCCAGCGTTCCTTGGCTGCATGGTTCTCAGAATTTGCTCGGTCTGAATGTCCATCGTGTTTTGATCGAACCTAGGTTCAAGTGACGGCAGATCGGGCTGTTAAGTGGTCCGCGTCTATTGGGGGCAAAGTCGCTGGAAAAGATTTGGTTTGGAAGTTTTCCAAGCTGGCCGCATCTGGAAAGCACCCTCAGAATTCTGAAAGGGACCTTCAAGCTGCAGTGAGGAAATTCGGCTTAAAGATGAATGTCAAGATCGAAGAAGCCCCTGTTCGACTGTACAACCCTTCAACCGAGACCATCTATGAAGCGAAACTTCCTATGATTTGCCCGGTGTCATTCGCCACTGCCATTTGGCGTGAAGGGCCAGATCTCTTCGAATCCATCTTTATGGGCGCCGAAGGCAAAGCTGGGGCACAACGCTTTTGGACTAATGCTCGGGAGAATGCTTCGTGGTTCAAAGCTGCTGCCATTCCCGAATCTTCATATCCGGGCCTCCTGCCTATCTACCTTTATGGAGATGATGTCGACGCCTACAGGAATTCGGAGTCCGGAGCTGTATCTGCCATTGGCTGGGGCTGTGACTTCGGCTACAAGAATGAAGCAATGCTGCAAACCTTGCTATTGTGTGTTTATGCTGAGTATACTGCGTGTGAACACACTCACGACGACATCATGCTGTATGCCTGCGAGAAATTCAAGCAGATGGCTGACCCGCACATCAACCATCCTTGGCACTTTGGCGGCTTCAAGTTCATGCTCTGCAGCTGCAGAGGCGATCTCAAATGGATTAACGTGCCCTCTCCGCAAGTCCTTAAAGGGACGGGTTTCGTAGATATAAATATAGTGTTTAATTTGAAATGTTTTGAAATATAGCTATACGTAACATTTGGGGTGCACTCGTTTTTTGTAAGTAGCTCTGTTTCCTTTGCATGCAAGAGATAGCCGGGAAATTCAAGATCCACCATTACATGCGCAACAAGGACGAGTTTTGCAGCATGTGCAGTGCGTGCAAGAAGCATGACGATGTGCGCCACACATATACTGATTTTCGCGAGGGATCCCTGCACAAGCAAGGCCGGCTGAGCAATGATGAGTACTTGGCAAGCAAAGCATTGGAGGACCTGCCGATTCCTATGGTGAATGGGGGCGTGCATCTCTGTCGGTTTCTGCATGACACCACGCACTCGCAACTGTTGGGCACTTCAAAAGTGCTCAACGGGAGCGTGCTGACATACTTGATTGAGGTCGGTGAATTTGGGCAATTTCCCAGGACTGGGTTTTATGAGCATGGCTTGCAAGCATTGTGTCGGCCGGCATATCTTAACTTCAAAGCGTGGATGCGGAGACATGGATTGGCTGCCACGCAGCCGCGATTTACGGCTGCAAGGCTCAACCGCAAGCATCGTGGTCAGTTTCCGTGTCTTGCAAGCAAGGCCATCAATGGCAAGCGCGTGTCATTTTGGCTTGCAGACATTTGCGTGCAAAGGCTACAACGAAAGGATGCGACAAATCTGGATGAACTCATTTCCACATGTATGTGGAGCTATTGCGCTATGCTGCGAGAATTCGACGTATGCGGAATGGTTCTGACGACTGAGCAGGCTGCTTTGCTCCATAAGTATGGAAGCTTGCATCTCTTGAGTTACGCGTACCTACGGAAACTGAGTTCCCAAACTGTTCGCAAACAGTTTCTTCGCTCGTCCTTCTGTATAATACCAAAGCACCATTTCCTTCAACACGCTTTGGACGAGTCCATGGACTCTCTCATCAATCCGGGTGTCTACAACCTGCTGGCCGCCGAGAGCTGGGTGGGATCGATCGGAAGGATTTCGCGGAAGGTTCATCGCCTCAAAGTGTCTACACGCACCATCGAAAGATACTTGTGCGTGGTGCGGCTGCATCTCACCAGACAGAAGAATCGGTTGCGGCGGCAGGTGTGAAACATTTCTTGGTGAGGGAGGGAAGGGTCGTGCTTTCGCACAGAATAAGATTAAGCAATTGCACAGTTTGGGGCATGCACATTCGACGTGTATCATGTGTGCTGCTGTTCATGTTGTTACAACAATACTCATGAGAGGGCTTCGTGTTTCAACTTTTTCCCTGAGACAGTGTCCTTTCTCCGCCTGAACGCCTTTTAAATCCTGCAGAAGCCCAATCAAATCCTGGATTCAACATAGATCGGCCTTCAGGGGCCTTCGCTGTGAAAGCCTGCACCTTCAGGGGCCTTCAGGGGCCTTCGCTGGGAAAGCCCTGACACACTTAACTTTCTGATTCGAAGGCCCGCTCTAAAAAAGAGCGTTAGGGTAGGGTTTAAGGTTTAGGGCTTATATAGGGTTTATAGGGCTTCTACCCATAGGCCCCTAAGTAGTTCCTTTTTGGGATTACCTTCTAGGATTCTAAATATGAAACACAAATAGGAACTACTTAGGGGCCTCTGGGTACAGCACTAAACAGAATCGTAAGGCCCTAACTCACTAAAGACCTTCATTTGCGTATTGCAAGCGCTAAGCACACAAGACAGGTCATGCATCCAAGATCTGCTCGGGAGGGCCGAAATTTAGAGCTCAGGGGTTTGTTTAGGCTGCTGCAGCTCAAAACAAGGGTAAGTTGTGTTTAAGCCGTCAGTGCTCAATGAAGCTCCCCTGTAGCGTCAGTACTTCAGGCCGCCCAGGTGTCCCGATAACTTGAATAGTGTGTTACTAGGTTACTGTCACTGGCAACTGTACAATCCATCCAAAGCCAATCCTGTAGAACAGCCCTGCATGCCTCCGAACCACAACTGAAGTAAACCCTAAACACTAAGATTTTCAAGGCCGAGTTTGTAGGGCCTGGGTCGTGCTGGTCGAGTTCATAGCTTATCCGCGACATGGGGTACCCCTTGCAGTGCATCTTTAGGAGCATAGCCAGTCCGTAAAGAGTGACTCCAGGAAGGATCACACAGAACTGAGCACTCAATATCTGCTGCCTGTGTCTTGGCCGTCTCCAAATCCCGCTGGTGGTTCCTGGGTGGAGTAAGGAAAACATGACCCAGGACTTTCTGAATGACCTCGGTGTACTCACTGGCCTGGTTCCTGCTGCTATCAATCAACCCTGACTAGCATCAGAGCTCGCAGTGCCCTTCGTGCGACATACAGCAAACCGCATGTCAGCAGTAGCAGCAGCTTTAGCCCTAGCGGTAGCAATAGCAGTAGTAGTAGTAGTAGTAGTAGTAGTAGCAGTAGTAGTAGTAGTAGTAGTCGTAGTTTGGTGGTGGTGGTAGTAGTAGTAGTAGCAGCAGCCGCAGCAGCAGCATCATGGCTGCCCCGTATCACGCTCTGAGACTTCGTGACCTTGTGCCTCTCTCTCTCTCTCTCTCTGCGCGGCTGTCTGTTGGAGTTGCTGAGCTGGCTCGGCATCCAACATACCAATGTCCGAAAAACCTGAAGCAACGACATGATGGAATTCGACTGGGGCCTGAGGCGTGATCGAAGTTGGGAAGCCCAATGCGCACAACTGGTGCAGTAAACGCTGATGCTGAAAGACCGGAACGTGCAGACTGCATTGGCCTTCTGTCCATGGTCTCTTTGACATGATGTACAGCGACAAACCCGCCAGTACTCGCAGCAACCGAAGCTCGACAAGAACACCCGACTCCCCCCCCCCACCCCACTGTGCAGCCACATGTCCTGATAGAAGCCTGACACGCACGCTTCCCAAACCGCACATGGAATTCCAGATGAACCCTCTTAATGGACAGTAGTCTCCTCCCTAAACCCTAAACCCTAAACCTGTAGAATCCATGCTATCCCCCAGAGACCCACGGAAGACCCTGATGAAGCTGCCATATACTTCCCACAGAGGCGCAAAACAAAGAGGGGCCTGTGGGGGGACACTATACTATAGTTACATTATAAAGCGACAGTCCATAATGGGAAAAGATTAAGACTACTTGAAAAGATTAGGACTAATTGTTCCGACCCTCTACATGCTAAACCCCATGGATTGCTTATACATTCTACAACACTTAAAGGAACCCTTAAGGGGATATTCTCTCACTGTCTGCTTTTTGGCCCCCCCACCCACCCACATGACATCGGAACCCTTGAAGCCCGTGATTTCCAAGGCTTTGCCGAGAGAACGGCTCCTTTCTTTTCTTGATCTGCTTCATGAGTTCCTTCCAGGCTTTTGGGTTTGGGGTGTTTAGGGTTTCGGGTTTAGGGTCAGTGGAATTTAGGGCTCCATGAGATCCTTCCATTGTTTTAGGGCTTAGAGTTTGGGTTCAAGCTTTGGGAATCCTCCCCGTAGCCATAAGTTCGTTCAAGGGTTTGGGATTTACGGTTTAGGAATCTTCTCCAGAACTTCCTTCGACGGTTTGTGCCAAGGCACTCCCCCAAACACCCGGTAAGTAGGAAAAGACTTTAGAACATGCTGATGACACAGTGTTGTTGGGGGAGTCACGAGTACTTCGTTCGAAGACATACTCCTCACAGTCCAAGCACGCAGTGTGGAGTAGAGCTCAACCTGCACAAAGCCGAGCTACTCCATCACCCTCAACACCCCAGTCACATTATTTACCCGGACAACACGCCAAGTAATCTTTCGGATGAGTCGAAGGTTTTTGGGAGTACAGACTGAATGAATCAATCCCAGTCCTCCTTCATAGAATTGCAACACACACGGTACAGCAGGCTACTCTCATCGTGAATGCCGCATCTTCATACCTGTATAGTCCGGGTAAACGCCAACGTCCCGGATACACTTGCGCTGGAAAGAACTCTGCTTGCGAACTGGAAGAGAAACCACTCTTGATTTCTTCACCGAACACAGCCTGCCCATGGGGCGACACATCAAACAAAATTGATAAGCATCAACAAAAATTACCACGGTAGCCATCAAAAAAATGATAAGCATCTAAAAAATGATAAGAGGGTTTAGG